TCTCTCTCTCTCTGTGGTTTTTTTTTCGGTGAAATATTAATCATTCAATTTGTAAATTTTTTTTTATTTGCGGCGCGGGCGTAGAAAAATGCCATTTTGTTTACACATTCATCGAAATCAATTACATACAAAGATACATCGAGAGAAGGGTAGAGAAGAAAAGAGAAGAAAATAAAAGAAAATAGTGTTGGTGGCTTGGCTAAGAATGGTTATAAAGGGATTTTTCGTCAAAAATTAAATGATTTCGAATACGGCGGCGAATCAATGAATCGTGTCGAATGCCAAAGCACTTTCGATTTGTACACGATGTCCACCACCAATCCCGTCCACTTTCCATTTGGTCACTCTTGTCATTTTCATTTTGCAATTGAAATACATGGTTTTGGAATTATTTTTCCTTCATTGCTGGGCGTTTCAAATCAGTCGTTTTTTCCGGCTATTCATTCAATACTTGGAATTATTAAATTGAATTGTAATTCTTGCACTTCTGAATGGCGTAGGTGATTTTTCCCTTTTTGTTTCGACAATTGGTCCGAACAACGCCACAATATTTTCATAAAGTAAGCAAACGGAGCGCCAACAACGATGATGACGACGATGGTAGTAGCGGAATAATGTTCATAGCCCAAATGAAAAACATACACTTAACTATTTGTATATGCATTAAATTGTACGTGCTCAGATTCGAATTTTCATCGAACCGTCGATTTACTCTCACTCCGTTGCTCACTCTCTGCTTCTCTTTCTCTGCTTCTCTGCTTCTCTCTCTCTCTCTCTTTGCTCGCTGTTTTTTCGACCATTTTACAAAATAAAATGTTCTCGACGCCGTTCGCGAGAAATTGCTTTTGTTTTGTTGGTTTGGCTCATTCAGTTTGGTTCAGTTTGGATCAGTGTATCGAAAGAGAGAGAGAGCCCCATTGCCCCCACTGACTGTCGTTGTAGATTAGCGAAGATGAAGCAGAAGGAAAAACGATGAAACGAAAAGGAAAAAAACGAACACAAAAATCTTGGCGTGTGTTTTAGACTAAGTTTGCTAAAGCTAGGTTTAGGTGACGACTAAGCAAGAGCATTTCGAAACGAGAGCATTTTCACCATTTTTCTCTACATAAAGTAAGATGAATGTGACGGCAATGGCAGCAGCAGTAGCAGCATCAGTAGCAGTATCAGTAGCAGCATCAGCCGCTACGATTCACTTTTTTCTCTCTCATTTTCATACATAGGTTTTGTATTCTTTTTTCGGTGGCTGGTCGAAAGCTGGCTGAAAAAGAATAGGAAAAAAAAATCAAACACAAAGTGAGAGAAAAGTTCGAAGGGGGGATAATATGAACGGAATAAATTCTTTCGAATATGTACCGTACACCGTTTTTGGCTCAGTGATTTTCATTTGATTGAGTACATTAACGCAGAGCGTTGTGTGTGTGTGTGTGTGTGTGTGTGTCACAGCTCGAGAGCTCAGCTCACTGAATGACGTTAAACACTCGCTTAGAACGCAAGAAAGAGAACAATCAAGTAAGACTGAGAACGATCGAGTGAGTGAGAATAAGAGAGTGGAAAAACGAAGGAGCGAGTGAAAGAAACGGAGTGTTTAGTGGGAACAGATCATCGGCACTAATCATCACAGTAGAAAGAAAAACCGAACCGATTTACTTTTAGTGTGCCGAAAAGCCAACGTGGCAAAAGGATTGGAAACTATCAATCGTCGTGTGTTTGTGTGCGCTATTCGATATGCCCGATGTTGCATATTGCCTCACTGAACGCCGATGTATTTCTTCTTTTTCTCGATTTTCCTTTTTTATTCTCGCTCTCCCTCTCTCTCTCTCTCTCTCTCTCTCTCTCTATGCCGTTTGTGTGATCAACGCGGTCCGCATTTTTCAACAGCCACACATTTTTTTCCTTCGTATTTTCCACCGTTCGTGTGTGTGTGTGTTTTTTTCTTCAATCCCTGGTTTGGTCCAAATCACACACATTGATCAAACTCAAAGTTTGAGTCCCAGACACATTGCATCACACAATGTTTATCCGATTCACGATGTGCGTGTGTGTAGTACTCTTAATGCATTCGCGTGTATTTGGTTAATTCAACGGTGGCTTTGCCGCATTATTTACATATGCAATGAAAATGCCTTAATGCCACGTATCTCTTAGTCGTACGGTAATGTGAAGCTGCGAGTTTCCGAATATGGTTGCAGCCATCTACCCATTTACACACTGGATTTACGCGGAGACAACGTGTTTTTGGAATCTCTTGAGCTTAAATCAGTGTGCGGGACCATTTGTCCGGTCGAACAAATGCACGCCGTTTCGAATATGGATTTCCACCCAATTGCGGTATTTGCATTCAATTCAAAGCAGAGGCATAGAAAAATCCATGTACCCATTACTGATCCCTTCCCATTCAAGCCCCATCCATACATCAAGAAAACTGCCACCAAGGAACGGCGGTAAATTATTCAATCGCGGGATTAAGGTGCAATACGCAGCTTTTTTCGCTCTCTAGAATACATAGCAAAGGCTCGGGACATTTTATTGGAACGGAAATTCATATTTTGTTGGTATTTCACGCGCGTTTTGCGCACATATGTGTGTTGGCTTGACTACGAGCGCAAATTACGGCTTCTTTAGCCGATTTTGATGGTTTTTTTCTCTCTCTTTCACTATCCATGTTTGTATCTGTGCTGTTTTTTTTTGTGCCGCATGCACGTTTCTTCATTGTTGTGTCAAACGTGCCACAACCACATTCACACACGTTTCCGGAATTGAAATGGCAAACCGAGTGAATCTGTTGCAGTGCCAAAGGGGATCGCACATGCACACACACACACACACAGTGCAAGAAAGAGTGCAATGCACAAAAACCAAAACAGGAACACGCATCAAAACAATATATGCGTCACAGATAAAGCATAAATGAATATGTCGTAACATAAACTGGAATTTGTTTTGCTCTTCTCTTCTCTTCTCTCTTTCTCTGCTCTTGTTCCCCGCGTTCAAACGCACAAAGAAACAAACATCATATGAAATAGTTACGAACGAAGAAAAAAAATCGTTTCAAAAATGAAACGATAATTAGATTGCCGGTTGATATTTATTTCCATTTCGGAAAACGCATCCACGAATGCTGGATCTAGACTCTTTGTGTCATACTAATTCATCTCCGCTCAGCGTTGCTCAGTTTCTCTCTCTCTCTCTCTCTCTCTCCCGCTATTTACCGTCGAACATTTAATTAAGATTTTCCAAAAAGGCTCTTACGAACACACAGCGCATATAGATATTGATTTAATGGAACATGTCGACAAATGAAACACATACACTCGCTCATCGAGGAAAACACATTTCGAAACACTCACCGTCGAATAGGTAATCATGTTTGGAGTGAGAGATAGAGCGAGAACGCGAGCGTGCTCTACCTAATTCATTTTCCATGCCATTTTCATGTTGAGTGTCGACATTCGACTCGAATATGCCAGTCATTCCCCGAAAAATTCAAAATCCACCGTGTTTTTCACTCGAATAAGAGAATCTCATTCTATCTATCCCGCTCTCGCTTGCTCGATCTGCCCGAGAAGAAAAAAAAACCCAATAAATAACAACATATCACTGAGAATGTGCCGCGAGCCGCATCAACGAAACACACCGAAAAAAAGTGTAATAATAAAAGAAAATGATGCATATTATCCGCTCTTTAAATGCTGTTTTGACATTTGTTTGCAGCTGTTTAACGACGAAGAAGAAGCGCTGCCGTTTCTGGTTGTTTGTCTCTTTTTCGGGCGATTTTTTTGCCTCTTCCGAACGATTTCCTATCGCTTTTCCCAATTTTGACTCCTATTGCACTATCTCGGTTCTTTTATTTTCTTCTCTTTTCTGCACATATTTTTCTCTTTTCCTCTCGTTCCCTCTCTTTTCTTCTCGCGCTCTCTCTCTCTCTCTTTCTCTCTGTAGCACTTTCTTCCAACCTCTCAAGTCTTCGTTCGTTCTCCGTAACACTCTCACAAACTTTCATCTCATTCTCTCAATCATTCGCACACATTTTCTCTGCTGTTGCATCTCTCATTTAGTTCCGATCTATCTATCGCTTTTACCGCGCTGTGACAGCACAATATTGTCACATATTCTCTCGATCTGGCGGAATGGCCGTGTAACTCGTGAACGTGCCTGTTCAACATAATTCACCACATTCAAGCGAATGATTGCTCATGCTTGCTCTTGCTCTCTCTCCCTCTCTCTTCGCTCTCATTCTCTTTCTTCTATCTCTCCCTCGTTCTCGATCGTTCACAGCACTAGCGTGCTAAATGACATAAACCAAATGACAAATCTCTGCGACCGAATACTTTTTTTTACATATCTCTCATTCTCAATTCGCAGCATTTTCAGTGGATTTTTTCTTCTATCGATGGATTTTCTATTTGTTTTTCAGTCAATTTTCACGATGTATATGAGTCATTCGTGATGAAAGCATTAATTAAGTCTAGCGCAGAATCGAATCACACTAAACACATGTTTTATTTGATGGTATTTAAACAAACGAGCAAACAAAAAAAAAAACTTTTAAATCGATTAGATATTTTCCATGTGTTTTTTTGTTTGTTAGTTTTTGCACACCTGAATCAATTTTCTAACGCAACTAAGAAAAAAAAACTCGCTTTTTTTTGTACATAGAAAACCAGCAAACAATATTTTCTAGATCATCTCGCAGACCATTATGGGAAATAAGTCTTTTTTTCGCTACATTTGGAACAACAAAAATTCATTGCCAATGGCAAATGAAAAAAATATGCTTCTTATTGATGATAACACATTCCGGGCGAATCGAACGGGTGTTTTCTTGTGTGATCACAAAGGAGAGCAAAAACAACAAAAAAATACTCTGATTCAATCGCAATACAAATAAAAAAATTAATTTTTTTAAATATCTTTTCTTCTTTTTATTTTAATCAATCATTTCGTAATACGCTGTGACAATTACACTGAACTCACTCGTCGTGCTCTTTCCTTCGTTACAGATTCAGTCACAAAACTGGAAATCCAATCGCAAAATTGGGTAAGTACAAGAGGAAAAATTCCAATTTATTGGCGATGAGCTAATTTAATTGACTTTCAACTAGAACAAAAACGAAACGAAACAGCGTTCGAATATTGCATACTCATTTTTATTGTATCATTTTGTATTATTTATTTTTCGTGTTTTTTTTCTCTGCATTTTTGTTGTTGAATGCGTTTTCAAGTTGTCAATTTTTCTGTTCGAAATAGCAATGACCTTCACTTTTCCAGCACATGCACACACACACACACATTGATGTGTCAGTGTATGTTTTGTGTTGTTCGGGCTCACTCAGTCTCTCTGTGAGCGACGATTTTTATTTTTCTCTCGAATCGATTCATAGGGATAAAAAGGAACACGTAAGAAGAAAAGAAGAAGAACCAAAAAAAAGATACGAAAAGAAAAACAGCAACGATTTTGAATTGACAACAGAGCGCTGGGCTGTTGACGATAAAATTATTCAAGGGAATGAATGAGTGCAAGAGGCGAACAAGGAGAAGAAACGAAAAAAAAAACAACACAACAAATGAAGAACTGAGAGGAAAAAAACAACGCTATTCAAAATAAACACAAAACATGTGGTGCATCTTCTTCACTCTCTTTCGCGCTCGTTGGGATGCGGCAATATTGCGAGATTTTCTGTATGTGTGGCAATAATTAATACACAATTTTTTTTTCTTTCTGTGAAGAAAAACAACAGCACCAACAACACTCATACGAACGTAGCGAGAAATGAGAACAAAAAAGCCGAGTGCGAGCAGAAAGGAATTAAACAAGAGAGAGAAAGAGAAAAACAGTTGTGGTATTTTCTTGAACGAAGGCAAAGAAAGTGAAAAAAAAAAATAAAATTCGAACATTTTTCTCACCTAGTCACTGTGTGCCCTCATTCTCATTCTTTGCGGGTGTGTAATAATTTACATTGCACCACGTAGCCAGGGAATGTTCCATATACACCGTATGCAATCCATCCGAACCGACCACATTCGAACATCATTCCAATGAGCGCACACACACCAGATTGGCATTTTACTGTAAAACCAATTGCTGCTCCTTCGGTCGAAATGTTCAACGCATGGGTACGCCATTGGCATTTGTAATATGTATATTTTCCGTTTGACGAATAGTCTGAACGCGAGTCTCAGCGATGGTTTGCCGATCCATTTGACAGAATATTTGGACCAAAGGGTTCAAGCGATGACAAGTCACTGACCCAATGCAGACCCACATGACACTTCTTTTTATTAGCTTCGAACATGATTGGCGTTGGAGAAACAGCGAATGAATTGAATGCTTCGGTTAGCCAACACATACCATTTCCCACTCAGACTATTTTTCATTCAGAATTTTTCACGCAAATTTCTGTGTTGTATTTATTCAAAAGCATACCTTTGACACTACAACACAAAACGTTGAGTCGAATCATTCACACTTCAACTCGAATTCCGGCGAATAGTACGGAATTCTAGCTTCATTTCAGTTCCTCTGTGAAAACTAGCTTCTTCTTCAATAGCCTTCTCATTGAAAATGAATGGGAAAAAAGGAAGAAAAAAAGTCATTACTCATTTATGAATCGAAATTGAATGCAAAAGAAGGAAGTAAAACAAACGATTGGCATGAGTGTGTCCGCTTGCAATCGTTGTTCGAAGAGCGGCTGGCGACACACATGATGTGACATCAAAATGTTGCCAATAAATGACAAATGTCTATGTCAATGGACACAAGCATATTGCACAATATTTCGTGCTGATTAATCACTCGGCCCAAAAAATTGAGTGTTTGTGTGAGAGCAAGAGAGAGAGAGAGTGTGAAACCGGCAATATGAGCATGTATTGCCTGCCATTTCTCACACTATCTGTTTCTCTTTCTCTTCATCTCTGTATCGGTCTCTTCCTTTTTCTCTCTTGCTCGTTACGACCGATTCACTCGTTCTATGCCGAGTCAGAGCAGTTGCACAAAATTATGAAGACCATATGCCCTGAGCACATTCCAATGTATATGATTCCCCGTGCACCATCTCTCTCTCTCTCTCTCTCTCTCTCTCTCGCTCTTTTGCTCGCGAGCGATGTACACACGCGCGCGTACACACTGAATAATGAAGCGAGATGAGGGAAAAACGGCATTTTATGCTCTTGTCACTTTTGAAAACAATAAAATCAACAGAAACGCACAAACAACAGCAAAGCAAAACATTTACTAATATGAACATGCATCGAAATGAAAAACCAGACGCACCGGAAACCAAGAATGTCAGGCTGATTATTCCATAATCCACAAACAAATCGAGAGCGAGATTGAGAGAGAGAGAGAGAAAAAAAAGGGAGAGAACCGAAAAAGAGGAAAAATTCAGGAGAGCTCGTCGCCAACATGTTCATAAAAGAATTATGTTGTATGTTTGTGTTGTTTTTTCTTCTCATTTTGCTCTCATGTTTATATTGGACTAAATGAAATGAAGCGCAGCAGCGCTCGACTTTTCGACTTTTCGGCTGTTGTTGTTGGTTTTTGTTTTCATTCCGTCAGAAGAGGAAGAGAGCAAACAAGAGATTGGTAACTTTAAATTGTTTTTCCCAAATGAAAAGTTTTTTTCTGGTGTGACCCAATTCCCGTATCGACATATCGTGACGTTCCTTGCATAATTTATCAATCGAAAAGGAATGTCAATCAAAGGTGAAAAGTGAACTGAAGAATGAATGAATGCCGAAGTTAAATGTGAAATGTGCGATACTGCCTCTCATTCTCTCGCTCTCTCTGTTGCATTTTCATGTTCTTCCTCGTTCCTATTCACTTGCTCGTTTGCTCCCTCGTTCCTTCGCTCTAATTTCGAATCAAAATGCCCAGAAAAAAAGCAAACATTTTTGTCACTCACATTTGGCCCGCTTCGGATTTTTGGTCACAAATGTGTCCAAATTCCCCCATGCAGCCCCACATGTACATTTTCGTGTGCACTCTGTCACACTCATCGTGAACAGTAAACAAATCGCTCTAGCTCTATCTCTATCTCTCATCCAGCTGCTCGATTTTAGGCCTAATTTCTCCGTCTCTTAGTCTACCTCTCGCTCGCCTCTCGGTTCTCTTCTCTCGTCTCTTGTCTCTTGACTCTCGCCACTCTCCTCTCTCTGCTCTCTATCATGATTTATATCTCATCATCACATGATATTAGTTTTTGATTTGTGTTACAATTCGTCAAATGCATCGAACAACAAATCAATTGAACATCAAAATGCATTCCGATAGTGTTGAGAAAACGGATCGATCGGTCAACAAAATGGGCATCCATTCACATATACACATACACACTAATAAATAAAAAACGAAAAAAAAAAACTGGAACAAAGTTAAAAGTCGATAATTTAACGTTTTTCGTGTTTGGGCCATTTATTTTTAAGTTTATCTTCGGATGTTTCAATGATTTGTCCGGGGCTGGAGAGAGTGAGGGAGAGAGAGAGAGAATCTATCTATAGTCGATCTAAATGATTAATTACAATGGTGTAATGGAAGTGGAGTTGCTAATGGATGGAATATGTGTGTGTAGGCACACCAGGGTTCGTTATAAGGTAGTGGGGTTCGGTATTCTGGGTAGCGCACAGGACAAGCTGACAGGCAGTAATGCTTGAAATAGGATTCGCTATCCGATTCAGTCTACGTGTGGATATTTAAAATTTTGTCAATTTGAACACAACATTTTGTGAGAATACGATATGCGGGACGGTATTGACAAATTATCTAGCCGATATATATGACAACAACATCGTTGCTGAAAAACAAAAGCACACTACGTAGGACAGGTACACATTTTTCGTATGGATTTTTCGATTTACGATATCTGTAATCAGTCGGTGTGACATAATATACATAATTTTCTATTCCGTTCGCGCGCTCTATCTCTCTCTCTCTCTCTCGTTCGCTTGTTCACGAATTGCGAGGGCTCATTCATTCGTTTGTTCGCTGGCTCGCTGTACGTCTCTTCGAAAAAATAGTGTCGAACTGGAAAAACAACGGACATACACACATTCCATACACAACATAATTGATATCAATGCTGGATTTCCCGTTAGTCGACTATTGAATTTTAAATTAAGCATTTAACTCACTCGGCTCCATATCTAATTGGAAAAAAAACATTGTGTATTATTTCCCCTGGCCAGTTTGCGCTATCTCTCTCTCTCTCTCTCTGTTTCTGATCCGGAAAATATTTTTCTATCGTTTTCTCAGTAGAATATTACTTTTGTATTTTTTTCTGTTCGATTCGATTGCTTATTGCTACGGTTATATTATTTTTTCTCAAATTCATCGTTATACCGCTACATGGGCCATGTTATCCAAGACACACCGCTCAAGTTGCCTGTGTACTTACTGGTTTTTTTTTATATATCTTTGTTGGCCGTATAAAAAAAACCAGTTCCACCGAAAAATTCGATATAACTTGCGGGAGGTTTTTATTTTGTTTTTAAACACATTTTATTTTTCTTTTCGTTTTCGAGTTTGTCGTTGTTGCCAACACTAAGGCAGGTTATTGATTTTTTGTTTGTTCGACGTTTGACATTCGAACACACGTTTACGGTTAGATATACTGCAGCGGTACTTTTCGGATCGAAAAACAAGAGAAAACAGAAAGAAATAAACTGGAATTTGGAAATGCGTCGATAAGAAGACGACCAATGTGTGATTTATATAATAATCTAGATTTGTATCACATGTAATGGTGCTCCATATGGTAGCGGTGAAAATCAATCATGAACACCAAAAAAACCGAACCAAATCAAACCAAAAGTCGAGTGTGCGTCAATTGACAATGTGATCGTGTCTTCGTCGTCGTCGACTTTTTCCATTTGATTCCATTAGCAAAAACTTTTGTCAGTATTGTCAAAACTTGTTCTTATCCCAGCGGTAATGAACGCTTGAATTTGCGTTGATATCTACTTTTGTGCGAGACATGTCTCTCTTCACCATTTGAATGGCATAAGAAATGTATATTCATGATTCTTCGATTTTCAATGGCATAA